AACCCATGCTGGCTATTCCCTATCACTTTATTACCTTCCAAGTGTTTGCATATGATTTCCTTAATTACCTGCTCCATTATCTTCCCTGGGACAGACGTTAAACTGACCGGTCTGTAGTTTCCTGGGTTGTTCTTATTCCCCTTTTTATAGATGGGCACAATATTTGCCCTTTTCCAGTCTTCTGGAATCTCCCCTGTCTGCCATGATTTTTCAAAAATCATAGCTAAAGGCTCAGATAGCTCCTCTATCAGCTCCTTGAGTATCCTGGGATGCATTTCATCAGGACCTGGTGACTTGCTGACATCTAACTTTCCTACGTGATTTTTAACTTGTTCTTTGTGTATCTTATCTTCTAAACTTACCCTCTCTCTGCTTGTATTCACTACGTTAGGCACACCTCCAGACTTCTCGGTGAAGACCGAAACAAAGAAGTCATTGAGCATCTCCGCCATTTCCAAGTTCCCTGTTACTGCTTCTCCCTCCTCGCTAAGCAGTGGGCCTACCCTGTCCTTGGTCTTCCTCTTGCTTTTAATGTATTTATAAAAGGTCTTCTTGTTTCCCTTTATGCCTGTAGCTAGTTTGATCTCATTTTGTGCCTTTGCCTTTCTAATCTTGCCCCTGCATTCCCGTGTTGCTTGCCTATATTCATCCTTTTACCTGCCTTTTGACTCTGTTAGCATGTGAGAGTTCATGGCACTGCAGCACACAAAATGGTTTCACAATATTCATTTCACATGTGATTTACAGAGCTTGGGCTTGGATTTACTCTAGTTTTTTAAGTGTTGATTCAGAAGCTGAATTAAAGGTTTGGCATTCATAATGTATAGATGGTCTTATTAGAGTCCTATACAGCATAGCAACATGTTCTTATGTTCACCCCAATTCTTCCAGCAATACTTCTAAGTAGATCCCTCTGTCTTTATAGTTAGTCTTGATATTACCGATATGACCCTTCCAATATTTATCTATATGACATTCTAACATATAACATTTAGAACTAACTTGTATTTTGTATTAAGATATAGGTTGCTTCCTTTTTTCTGTATTAAGATATAGGTTGCTTCCTTCTCGCTCTCACAATCTTCCTTTCTGTGAAGATCATTCCCTTTGTTTTAGCCAGCGTGAACTTCAATCCCTGACTATACCACCATTCTGAATTCTCATCGGCCCATATACCATATATATGAAATGTTGAAATCGTTGTTCATTTCCTCATAATATTTCCTGCAACTCTCTTTCTTTGCCTTTTTAATAGTTCTTTGTGCCACTACTTTACATGTTTTACACTCAGTAACTCCCTGCCATTATTTGTACTTTGATTGTTTGCATGCCTTATTTCTTTATTTAATTGCTGCTTTACAATATTTATTCCATGAGGAAACAGGATTTCTGAGTTTCTGGCTATTCAACATCTTACTTGTAGTTAGCTTTATTGCTGCTACAACTCCCTTTATTATATTATGAAATACATCTAAATTATCACTTATACTGTTGGTACTTAGATACTTAAAGCTACTCTTAAAGAGTCCCCAGTTTGCTTTTCTAAGGTTCCAGGTACAAATTCTTTCAATGCTTTCAACATTACCTTAGTAGTGATATGTAATTGGCATATAGAAGTGATCACTTGCCATTCCATTTTCTTTATAGATTTCCCAGCTGTATTGTTTGTTGCAATTCTCAGATCTAAACATGAAAAGGTTCCATCCATCCACCTAATTAAACCTAGTAGGTGCTCCACTATTGAGTATTACCAGCTTGTGCATGTCAATTAACTGTTCCAGACATTTTGTTGTTATAATCTGTTTTCCTGCTTCCTCCCAATTCATTATGGTTATTAAGGTCTCCACAAATAATGTATGGGCCTTTTACACCTTTAACTAACTTTTCCAGTTCTGGATTGTGTAGTTTTTCACATGGGTTGTAAACAATACAGATTTCGATAAAGGTGCTAATATTCTGCAGCCTAAGCTCAAAAGTGTTGTACTCAATTTCTATATGTCTATTTCAACATAATTAAGACTGTCTATTCATGAATATACAGAGTCCTCCTTATCTTGTAATTTCTCTATCAGTTCTGATTACATTATATCCTGGAAGTCTAAATGTACATTTTCTCACTAACCATATTTCTTGTATACATATCATATTAGATATGTCTTCCATTTCAAGAACAGTTTTCTTTAATTCCTAACTATGTATTATTAAACTATGTGCATTCCAGCAAAAAACTATTAGAACCATGTTGTTTAGACTACACTGTTACTTAAATGTAAAATGTTATGACTGCAGTCTATTGAGAGATGGCCTATATGGAAATACTTTTCTTCTGCTTTTGTTATAATTTTTATATTTTCAATTGTCTTCTGTTTGTAAAGTACAATTAATCAGTTCAATCATAGAAGCTGATGATTTGTTTTGCCTGTCATCAGTTTATTTTCATCTAGTCCCTTTTTATTACCTCTCCTCTCCTGAACTGCATACTGTTGTACCAGTCACTCTTTCTGCTGAGATTTCTTCACTTTTATAGTCTCTAGCCCAGCTCCTCTCTCAGTTGAATTTCATGTTCAATTAGTGTTTATCAATCCCTGGCTTCCCTCCAAGTTCATCATATAAAATTAATTGGCCCTTTCTGGTCCACATTAATGCATTTGAATTTGTATGGAATGGACACCCCATCACACATGATATCCCTTATGACACAAAAGTTAATGGTCCACTTATATAAAGGCAAAGCTCCTAATAATTTCAGTAAGGAGGTTTGAACATGCAAAAAAATCACAGGAATTCATAGCTCACAAAGGGCTTGCTCTTGTTCTTTCTCCCTTTCAAAGCAAATGGGCAAATTCCCATTGATTTTAATGACAGTGGCATCACAATTCAGATATGTAAGCTGGAAAATTATTTTTTAGAGGCTGTGTCAGCATGCCAATGCAGAAACAGCTAAACTGAGTCTGGAGAAGTACTATACATTTCTGAGTCTGATTCAAGCATTAGGGCCAAATTTCACTCTTACACTGGAGTGGGATTGCACTGAAAGCATAGGGTGACTTGCTGCAGGGCCTAGAGTACTACACTTAGCTATGGAAAGTGCTTATTGCAGAGATGGTCACAATTATCCAATACAACAAGGTATTGCCTCCAAGATAATTAACAACTAATCCTAGACTCATTATGGATTTAATTGTGGTTTAGCTACCAAGTCCTGAGCCATGGACAGTGCTTAGCTGCATTTGCCCCAGGAATCACACTGGGGCTCAGAGAGTCACAATCTCTTGTCAGGAGTCAGGTGGGGATAGGAGGTAGGAAGTTATCTGTGCCAGCCCCAAATTTTGTTCAGATTATTTCCTCCATGCACATTAAAATGATCATAATCTGGTAAAATGCCTACTGACACACACACATTTCCTGGAAAAAGCCTTTACTGTCTGTGTTCAGCTGGTGCCCATTAAGATTAATAATGGAGTCATGGTGAAAACAAAACCTTACAAAAGAAGTGTGTGTGTCATTGAGCTCATCCATCAGTAAACTCAGCCACAGTGAGTTTACCACTTGCCCCCTTCAGCAGGCATGCAAAGCCTGAAAAGTGAACTCTTGAAGACCCATTGTGAGGGGGCAGACATAGCATAGAAAGGATCCTCCATGGCACATAACACCTGCACCCTACAGAACCCGTGTTCCACAGTGGCAGGCTTAGAAGCATCATTCGGTATAGGGACTGGCACAGAGGCATCACAAGTTACTACGCACACTTACAGATCTCAAGTTTTGTATGAAGGGTTGGAGTTAGAATACACTGGTGCTCCATGCCCTGCTGCTGGGTTATGGAGAGATTCCTTCCCCCTAAACTATATACACAGCCAGCTTTTGTGGCGGCTTTTGCAATAAATACTGGGAACTGGTCCCGAACAAAACACTTTCCTGAATTCCACCTAAGCGCATGTTATTAGTGTACAAATGAAAGAGTAAAAGACATTAGATCAGATTTTCACAACTAATCATGGAGACTAACTTTTAGGCCTGCACTGGTAATTCTTTCACTTTAATATGGTGACTGTTTGGCTATGTCTAGACTGCAAGCCTCTTTCGAAAGAGGCTTTTTCGAAAGTATCTTTTGAAAAAGCCTCTTTCGAAAAAGAACATCTAGACTGCAAGCGGAACTTTCGAAAAAGCAAGCCACTTTTTTGAAAGAAAGCAGCGAGTGAGTCTGGATGCTCTCTTTCTAAAAAGGCCTGTTGGCATTCAAGAACACCTTTTTTTGAAAGAGCACTTTCGAAAAAAGGCGTTCTTCCTCGTGAAATGAGGTTTACCGCCATTGAAAGAAAAGCCGCGTTCTTTCGATTTAATTTCGAAAGAACGCGGCTGCAGTCTAGATGCAGGTGAAGTTTTTTCGAAAAAAGGCTACTTTTTTCGAAAAAACCCTGAGTCTGGACACAGCCTTTACAAAGAAAAATAACACTTTTTTACTTGTTTCCCCAACTCTCCCTCTCCCATAAAAAACAAAACAAAACAAATTAAAAATCTCACTTGCTTCGGGGAGTAGTATATTGCAAGGCTGCATTAGATTAAAAGACCAAAAAGTGTTTTTTCTTTCATTTATAATAAATAATTTTAATGCATTTTTTAAATAAATCTTTGCCATCAGGGGCCAGTTCCTCACTTGAAGTAGATCAGAACAGCTCAGGTAAACAAGTGGCGCTACACTGATTTACATGAGTTGAGGACAAGTCCAAGTAGGGATTGGTGAGCTTTCTAAAGGTAAAAGGAAAGTGCTTGTTCCATATTTAGCTGTTTAGAAAAGGAATGTGTGGGTGCATAGATGCATATGTACAGCCGTTTTAAATTACAAAATACTAAACGGTTGGAGGATCTAAAATTATTAAATACAAGACTAATTGTACAAATAAAATCATATTTGGTAAAGTGACCAGAAAATTCCAGCCCTTAAATCATATCTATGTTCCACAGTTACTCAGTAGGTGGCACTTAAAAGCTTAGATCAGCTTTGCAGTCGCCATTTAGGTACCAGCAGCAGCTGAAGCTGAAGTCAGTCCATCTCTGAGAGCAGAGGGTGTGTGTTTGTGTGTGGAGGGAGATTGCAACCAAGCCAACAAAAGCACACAGCCCAGGCACCCAGAGAGAGAGAAACTAGACTAGAACCAGATTAGCAAGAGCACTGGCAACAAAACAAGGATCAGACAGCAGCAACTAACAAGAGACAAGAGAGAAGCAAACGACTGAGATAAACCTCTTTATTTAAAAACAGACAGCTTTCTCTCAGAGAAACCCACAACTGAAAGGCTGTACTGCTGGTACTATGACAGGCAAAAACTGAAGAGCATTTGGCAGAGTTCTGTTCCTTCTCAGGTAATCTTCTTAAATCATTTTTTCTACCCAGCATTGTATAAGAAACACTAGCTATGTATTGATATAAGGTGCATTTTATTTTTCTTAGCCAAATCCAGCAGTAGTTCTTCAGGCAAAAGTCCCACTGAAGTCAAAGGGAATTTTGTATGAGTGAAGACTGCAAGATTTAGCCCTAACTGCATATCTTATGCAGATGAGGTGGCAAGTATTGGCCAGCGTAGAAAAATATTTGTTAGCATAGTGGGATATCAGTAACTGCTTTGTATCAACATTTGAAAAATTCATTCAAACACGATGGGCTAAATTCTGCCCTCTTTTGCACTGATGCAACCCATTGGTCACAAAAATGTTGCTCTGGTTTAAATGAAGACATTTAACCATTTCTGATGAGGGAAGTAGGGGGAGGGGAAGATATTGAGCTTGAATCAAATAATGCTAAGATATTCTTTTTAAAAGAAATAGAACTAAATTTTAGACAACTCTTGAGTATTCCTGTTGAAGGCTGACTATTTTTTTTAACTCAGCAGCTCGACTTACTCTGATTGCTATGTTCTCTGTAAAATGTAGGCTGTTTTATATATATACTGCAATACACAGTCACAATGGTGAGAAAGTTGATGATACAGCAACAAGATTTAAGTAATATCCTTAAAAGCATTTTCTTTTTAAATACACACACATTTATATGCACTAAATATGTATTTGCCTATCTGTACGTATGCAACCTATATATATATAATGCACATATGTGCACAATATGATCTATCCATCCATCCATAGAATTGTATGTATTGATATACACACAGATATCAATATAAATGCAACTTCATGGCTACCTTTGCCTGGGTTTTTAAATTCCACTGAATCTAAAGTATTTACAGATCCTATAGTTTTTAGATTTGGGTCAGCTGGCCATTTTGGTATTTCTTTCCTGACAAATTGCTGTTTCTAGGGTATAGTGAATTGTCACCCAGGATTCCAGGCACATTAACTGTACATTTTATTGGTCAGTTCTTGGGGACTGACAAGTGTGTCATTGCTAAGCACTGTAAAATAAGTGATACCACATGATTCCATCCCATCTCCCATTGTATGTGGACAGTTCAAATCGATGGTCAGTGTTTTTTTAGGGATACACAGCTGTGAATCTATTGCCCTGTGAATCCAAAAGTCTGGGGAAACATTTGAAGGGACATCCTGCTATTTTGTCCTCAACCCTGGGAAGACAGAAGTCCTACTATTCAGTAGATGTTGTCAATAGCAGGTGTTCTATTCTTTGTGTCTCTATTTGTGAAGGCATTTGGTCAGAAAGATTAAGAACCTTGGTATCAGTTTGGGTCATGCCCTCTGCATTTAAAGCCAAGAATTGAAGTTATTTTCCCCTGTTATGCTGCATTTTGGCTTATGCCAAGATAGTCGAATAGCAGAAACACCTGCCTTTGTGACCCTGAAGCTCGATCACTGTAATAGCCTTTTCAAAGACCTCTCAGGAAAAATGCACCAACATTTGGAACTCATGAATGCTTACCAGTTTGAGCTATGTCAATTATATTACATCTGACTGTCGTCTCTTTGCTGACTATCTTTGCAGTGATGGATTCAAATATGAATTGGCACTGCTTGTTTTTAAAGCTTCTGTTGGCGTTGGCTTTGGTCGTACCTTCATGACCTGTCTGCTCATGGAGCATTGTGCTGAAACGTATTTGTGCTTACATATCTGATCATTGGAAGGTCCCACCATCATGTCCAAAGCCAGCAGATGACCACACTTTTGTTGTGGTTTGATGTGGAATGCCTTCCCCCACTGAAATCTCTCTCACTTTCTTTCCATCGCTCTTTTAAAAACACCTCAATTTTGCATTGAGCATTTGAGGATCTCTGTTTATCCCCTCCCCTTTTCAATAAGACCTTTCATTGTCTTTGTGTGCATGTGTAATTCAAAAGGGACATCATTTTATTATACCATATTGTTTGTATTTTGCTGGGCCTCTCTATGAATGCTTTCATGATAGAGGCAAAACTTCTAAAGTCATTGTACACATTTGTGTACTTTGATCCTAAGCAGAGTATTTACACACCCTGGTTGGAACTTCTCTCACATTAGAAGATATGGTCTGTGGGTTACTACCTGTCTTATATGTTGACATGCTATTCAGTTTTCCAGATTTTTTTCTTTTAATACATTTCATGATGCTTTACTCAAGCAACATCAATGTTACAGTCTAGACCCATGAGGGGAGGAAAAGAACACCATGCATTTGTGAAAGCTGTTGCATGGTGATAGAAATATATATTTTCCCCCCTTTTTAAACATACATTCTAGTAAAAGGCACCTCATCCACAGCAAAATGTCACCTTTAAAAAAAACAGTCCATTAGGTTATCTTCACTTTCAGCATAGCAAGAAAAAAAAAAAGGTGATCAGGAAACATCTGTTTTCTGGGGGTTATAGTTAAGTTTCACATGGAACTAGGAATCAATTATCTTATTTGTAATCTTGCCAGTAATTAGAATAAGAACTTTCAGGTGAGATCATGTTTTAAAACTAAGTTGAACCATGACCTATTTTCTGCTTGAGAGTATTAAATAGAATAATCCAAGCACTAAGCCCTTTCCCAACTCTTGTACAATGCTTGATTAGGATGTGAAGAAAAAGAAGAGCAAAATTTATCAGCACTTTAAAATAAGGAAGAGACTGCTACTAGTGACATGAAGATCCTAATTTCCTCTCAAACAATGAAAGTCAGCAGCAGCTCCTTTGGAGCAAATGAATTTAACAGTAGAGGGAAAATGATGCAACAGAGATTAGTCTCCCAGATTTCCTAAAATGTAGGAATGCTGCCAAACTTGGTAGCAGTGGAATGCTGCCTACATAATAGTTATTGCAGTTACCGGGGTAGTTTTTTGTTGAGACTGAATAGTGGTGGCACTGAAACATTTGCTTCCTTTTATTTTCCTGTTTTTTAAGATGGATGTGTAGCAAGGCAACAGCATGCGAAAAGCACATCCATTTCTGTGTTGTGGAAGGTGCTTCCATTTAATGTCTACTAACTGACTTAAAAATCAATGCCATGGACAGTTGAGATTAAAAAACAAACAAAGTGTAATTCTATGATTTCTTCTCCACACAAAAATAATTGGGTTTTTCTCTTATCCAAAAATGTCAGTTTCAACTGTCAAATCTCAGCTGCAGCTGATACAAATAACTGAAATATTGTTACAAGCCCCTAAGGAGAAAGATGGTCTCCTTAAAGTCTATCAAGTTCCTTCAACCAAACATTAAAAACGTTGGCATAGAAAAACCACTGAAAGTATGTTTCATTGTATTTAATTTACTTATTTATATTTTAATATAATTTAGTCTTATTGATAAGTTTGTTTTTAATTCATATGTCTCCTTTCTTGGTAACACTGGCAGAAATGAGAAGAAATATAGTGAACATACCTATATTTACCTCAACCACAGAGAAACTACTCAATGCTAACTTAACACACACATTTTTATTATTCTTTATTTTTAGTAAACAAACAGTCTTCAGTTTTCTGAATTTCAAAGGCTCCAAAGGGAAGAGATGTGGGTTTTTCAAAATAAATGAACATGTTTGTTAAAGAAATATAAACTTAGTAAACAAATTTAACTTTGCCAACTTGCCAGAGTGAAGAGGAAGAAAACAAATTCTTAGAACAATTAGAAACCCATTACTATATTGCTATGTAAGAATCTACAAATTATACCCAGATCTTATCTCAAATCCTTGTTTTACAAGTTATAGTTTTAATCACTGTATTGATTATTTGGTATTTTGTCCAGGGGTTTATCATGTGAAATTCAGAGAGTAAGACAATAAATCAGGTTCCAATACCGTAACTCAGGCTGAGAAATAACGTATGCCACATATAGCACAATTGACTTTAATGGGACTATTCTGGAGTAAGTTCTATTCAACATGAATAAAGGTATCAGAATCTGACGCAGTGTTCATGTTAATCATCACTGTCTTCCTAGCAATAGAAAATAAAATGTGTTATGATTTTTCATAAGAATGAGCCAAATGCTGTAGTCCTATTTGTAACTATTCTGCTTTCACTGAAGATCTGGACCACTATTTTTCTGTCGTAACAGTGAAATTAAACTATTCAGGAATAAAGAACTGTGAGGCTAGAATAACCAAAATAGCTGTTTTTCTTCTCTTATTTCCTCTAATGAAAAGAAAATAGTCTGAAGTATTTATATATCTTTATATATATATATATAGCGTGTTAGTATAGAGTTGCCAATTCTTGTGATTTTAATCATGAGTTTCACAATATTTGGTGTTTAGCTCATTCTAGTCAATTTGTCTAGATGCATAAACTTGCACATTGAGAAGTGTTTGCAAGATCAGTGCCTAAAACTGATCCAGCAGTTCTTACTCAAACAAAACTTTCACTGAGTAAGGACAGTAACACTTACCATGTGCTTTAAGTTAAATTGAGACTTAACTGCATTGCTGAATCAGAGCCAAAATTATTAAAGCTTTTAAAACATTTACTAGGTTAAGAAACTAAAAATTAATATGGGATTTGTTGAATTGGACTCATGCTGGATAATATTAGTTTGCCTTTTGCTTTTGTCATTTTATGAAACAGGTTCATATTTACAAGTGCGTTTCTCTAGTGCTCAATCCTCTATAATGCTGTCTGATCACAATCTAACAAAGCACTTAAATTCATTCTTAAAGTCTCATGATCATAACCTGCCTCTCTCTTTACTATGTCTAACTCTTGCCAATTCTTTCAGCATCAGCTTATTAAAATATCACCTTTCCTATCCCTCCACAGAGCTAAAACTCTTGTCTAGGCTCTAATCATCTTGAGTCTCAATTACCGATACATGTTTCTCTCTGGATTTGACAAATGTAATCTTGCCCTACTCACTTTCCTCCAGAATGCTGGAGCAAAGATCATTTTCCTACCCTGTTTCCATGTCACCCCTTTTGACTTCCTCCATTAGCTTCCCTT